GTACACACACACACACACACACACACACACACACACACACACACACACCAGGGCTCACTGAGTCCCCTGGACAGAGCATCAGGCCTGGTGGGACCATGCTGAACCCTGAACTGGAGCACCCCAGCACTCTAGTGCCCTGGACTCGGCGTCACTGCCACCTGGTCAGTAACCTGGGCACATGCCAGCGCCATGACTCTGGGCTCCCCTTGGGCCCCAGGACTTCTCACCTCTTCAGTCCCACCGCAGGCCCCAGCTGCACAGGCCACAGGAGCTCAGCACGCCCCTGTGAGCCTGCACTGACTACACTGAGCAAATAGGGTGGGGTGCTCTTTGTGCCCTGACCCCTGTGGGGAGTGGAGGCCCGCCCTGTGCAGCCTCACATACGGGTTCTTACGCAGCCACAATAAGGCCTTTGGCGCATGAACCTGAGAGTGCTCAGAGAAGTGAACTGGGCACATAAGGCCAAGGTGGCAGGACCCCCTCAGAGGGGGCCAAGCCCATGGCAGGAGGTAGGCAGAGGCTGGCGGTGGGTGGGGTGGGGGGCACAAGGACTTGTTTAGGCCGAGCTAAAAGATCTAGATGTCAAAATGATTAATTCAATCTACACAACCTCATTCCTGCACTCAGTGCCATCCATGTACACCTGGAGGTGATGTGTGCCCCTATGCTTGCTCTGTGCCCGTGTGTGTGCCCTGCGCCTGCTGTGTGCTGCTGTGTGACCAGCGTCAGGTGAGCTGCGCAGGGCAGGGAGGGGGCAAGGGCTAGCGCCGCACAAACCCAAATACTGACAGTGGTGGTGGGCTTCCTTTGCCCCACAAGTAGGGCACATCTTCAGAATCCACCTTCAGGAGGGTGTGGGTGGGAAATACACAAAACAATGTACTGTTTAAGTGGACGCGTATGCATTATTAGTCTCCCACAGCCACCTTACAGCACGCGTGCTCCTCCCTGTGAGGAACGTAAAGAGCAGTCACCATCCTAGAGAAAGTTCCCTAACCGGCTGTGGCAGGTGCTGAAACTGGCTCACCTAGCTCCGGGTCTGGCACCTTCTTGGCCTTCCTGACTTCCTGGACTTTAGGAGGCCTCCAGCCACCACTCCCCTTGGAATGCAGCCGCCCCCTGACCTGGGTTGCCCACCCCCGGAGCATGCACTAGGCTGGGGCTTGTAGGTGGAAGTGGGCACCTGGAGTGGCTGCCTGGTGCAGGGAGGGTGAGTCTCTGGGAGCACCAGGGCTGTGGCATCTTCTCCCGGAAGCAGGGGTGGCAGTGGTGTGGCCACTAGACAACTCCCTGCGTGTGTTGGCCTTTCCCCGATTCGGCACCCTTCCTGGTTGTTCTCCATCCACCTACACTTTCATAACAAACCCCATTCTGCTGACCTGGTGTGGATTCTGTTGGCACCCAGCAGCACTGGCTGACTGGGCTCCGAAAGACGCCTGCCAAAAGGTGCAGGGCACACGCCCTGCTCACCAGCGGGCGTGGCTGGAGGCACTCTTTGTCAAGTCAGACATGGAACGAGGCGCCGTAAGGTGGACAGCCTGAGTCAACTAGATGGGAGAATGAGAAGAGGCTCGCCGCTGCCCTTAGCTGTAGACAGTAGGATAGAATAAGGAAGACCAGAGAGGAGTCAACGCATTGAAACGCTGATGCTGGCAAGGAATACTGCAAGTACATGGACAGCCGGAAGAACAAAACCTCTGTCTTGGGCGAAGTACAGCCAGAAGGCTCCTTCAAAGTGAGGACGGTGGGACTTTGTCTCAGGAACTTTGTTTGGACTTGTTATCAGGAGCGGCCAGTCCCTGGGAAAAGGACCTCCTGCTTGGTAATGGAGAGGGGTGGCGGAAAAGAAGACCACCCTCGAGGAGATGGATTGGCACCGTGGCGACAATTGTGGATGTAAACAGAAGAACATCGGGTCAGAACCAAGTAGACAGTCCCTAACACCAAACGACGGTGTGCACTCTATGAGGACTAGTGAAAGGGTTCGGCAAGCCAGCAGAATACCAAATGCATATGCAAAATTCAAACACACGCTCCTAAGGCAGGCTGGTGAGTGGGACCCCGGAAAACATCAGTGGGTGGCCCAGCTTCAGGTGGACACCCAGAGACCACCCTCAGAGGCTCAGGGTCCCAGAGGAACAGGATGCTCAGTCCAATGGAGCTGGAAGGATGTCCCCTGAGAGTAGGTGCTGCTGACAAACCTGAGCCCTGAGGCAACGTCGGTTGTGGTTGGAGGCACCCTTGAGCCTGTTCTGCAGCACAGCAGTCCACACACGGCACCAGCTGCTCTTGCGCGGTCGTCCTTGCTCTACCTGAGCCCACTGGGGCGCCACCTGTCAGTCCATCTCCTGGAGGGCCTTCCTCTTCCTCACTGCCCTCTGCTTTACCTGTCTACAGGAACTGGTCCCTCTTATCTGATAAATGTCCCAAGTACCTCCGATGAAGGCTTGCCATCGCAGCCTTCGGTGGTCTTTGCCCGCGGCGCAATCAAAGACATCGTGTTTTCTTGGTCTCCTTAGTCATTGCCCGGCTCTCACATGCATGTCCGGAGATCAAAAACACCATGGCTTGCATCCGGCGTAGCTTAGTCCTCAAAGTGAGATCCCTTTTTTTTCTCTCATTATTTTTTTAATCGCTTTATTCATTTTTTTTAAAATGCTGTAGAGAGGTCTCCTGCAGGAGATCTGCCTAGTGCAATGTGTTGTGAGATTCATTGGCTGCTGCTACCATGGGTGTAGGTTCAAGTAAAACAAAATCCAGGACCGCATCACTTTACGGGTTCAGTTGAGAGGACCCTTGTTTCCTTGATGCTGAGGTGGGATCCCACCTGAAGGTGGTGGTCTCGGCTCACCATCAGTAAGACTCCATATGCTCCAAGGGTTCAGGAAGTCAGGTTGTGTCTTCCTGCAATCCTCATTCATGAAGTCCAGCCCTCTTGAATTATTCCTTAACCCTTGTCCTAACCCTGGTGTGGCGGTTACATAATTTCAGGTCAACTTGAAAAATAAACCTAGGGGTGGAGTCTATCTAGCCTGTCATTCAGGTCACAGCCTGATGATGCCTCCTTGTGGGCATGGCCTTCTCATGAGGATTCTGAGAACTTCTTCTCTTTCTCCCTGGTGGTCGGGCCACACTCTCTGCTTCACCTTCCTGTGGAGGAGACCTGCGTGAGCCATGGGGAAGAGACCTGTGGAGACCGCCCCCTGATGCGTCTACTGCCATTGGATCCAAAAGAGATGTCACCCACCTGCCTGTGATCTTCCTGCATGCGAGTGGTTACGTTAGTCTGAATAGGAATTCATGGGCTAGTAGCAGACATATGGACTAATATTGGACTTATGGACTTGATCTGAACTGGGCTGGGATGTTTTCTTAAAATGCAATTACTCTTTGATCTAGAGCTCTTTCTTATACACATGAGTGTCCCTGGATCTGTTTCTCTACTCCACCCGGGCTAACACACCTGCAGAAGGACGTCATCTCGGTAAAGTAGGGGCAGTGAAGAGGAGGAAGGCCCTCGCTCGACTAGATGGGTCGACACAGACTGCAACCACAGGTTCAGTTGTCAGAACAATTGTGTGAGGGCGCAGGACTGCAGGGTGCTTTGTTCTACTGTACACGGGGTGGCTGGGAGCCAGCGTGGACTCCACAGCACCTAACATGCCATGACACACCGATGGAACACCTGGTGAAAGGACATCGTTCTGTCCCGTATCTTTCCTGACTTGAAACCATGCAGCATTCCCTCGTCCTACTCAGGTGGCTGCCTCTTGGTCTAGCTGCCAGTTCTATATGAGCACAACGAAG